CGCCCAGGGGGAGGTTTTCCAGCTCGTGACACGGCTCAGCTCCGTCGCTCGGCCTTTTCTTTCGCTGAGGAGATCGCGGGGAGCATCTCTCAGGTCCCACAACCCGGCGCCGCGTTGGAAGTCGTTCTTCCCGAGAGCTGACCGCCCGTTTTCCAAGGTCTGGCAGATCCTCATGTACCCGACCCAGAAGCTCTTTCCCATTTTTGGAAGCTGCTCCCGGACGGATTGCGATGAGAAAAAGAGTCGGGGAGGTGATGATCCCCTTCATTTCCGAGGTCCGACAGAAAGCAGATCGCCGAAAGGATTTACCAGCCGGCTCCGGCCCTTTCTGTTTCTCATCTCGCCTTCGCGCCGACTCCGACGCGGAGCCGCGAGGTCGAGGACGCGAGCGGAGGTGTCGCCCCTCGGGAATGTGGGTGCTGATAAGGGGCAGATGCCGTTTCCAGCCCATTTTTAGCGCCTTTTCCTTTCCAATTCGGGCGCTTCGCATCCATAACTAAAAACCAGCTTTTTTTTCTTTAATTTTTTCCCCCTCTCCGCGCCCTTCCTTAAGGGAAAAGTTAGAAAAACCTTTGGGGAACAGCTCGGGGCGGCGCCTCCTCCCTGATTCTGCCTCCTGGGTGAAACCTCTTCCCTTCCGCCCGAATTTCCTTCGATCGTAAAGAAGGAGATGCCAGAGAGGGGCACGAGAGCCGGGATTTGAGGTCACCATCGCCCCGGACGTAATCGTTTTCCCTCTTGTTTCCTTTTAGGAGGCTTTTATTGGTTGAGTGCAGTGGGAGGATCACACCGGGAAGAAGGGGCCGAGGTCCTATTCATGGTTAGTGACCCTTTCGTGCTTTCAATCTTTAGAGCTTCCTAAAAGCGCCGGCCCCGTAGCCAGGAGGAGGGAAACTGAGGCACAGGGACATCCAGAGAGGAGGCTTTTAAAAAAGCCGCCTCGTTTTTTTTCTTCTTTAGGGGGCGTTTCTCATCAGGGGAAACGTGTTGACCTCGACGATTCCCCGAGGCGCCGCGTCAGGGCTTTTTTTGATTTCTTTTTTGTGTTTTTTTGGGGTTTTTTTCTGTATTTGATGGCAAAACCCTTCGGTCGTCAGGTTCCGGGAAGGGGGAAAACCAAAAATCCCCGCGGCGTTTCGCCGGGTGTCGAGATTCTGCTTTGAAATTCAGCGTCGAGCTTTTCTCCTCCCGACCGAGTTGGACGCGCTCCGGCGGGATTTTTGTGTCTTTTTTTTATTTTAAGTCAAGATGTTTTCTTTCCCAAGAGGGGCTTCGGGCCGTTTCGCGTATTTCTTAGGCCACGCTCCGCCGATCCTGCGAGGGGAAGGTCGCCGTTACCTCCTCGCTCTTCTAAACCAGGAAAAACGACTCCGAATCTCTCCATCCCAGTTTCTCCGCATCCTTTTCTCCATCTTGACGACAGGAGCGGCCC